TATATTCAGCAATTTTTGAGTGAAAGTTTTCTATTATCCCGGCGTTCTCTTTCTATGACCCTTTGTATTAAAAGACACATTGCATTTAGGAAGTCAGATGAGTTACTTATCTGTTCAGATAAAAATTAGTTTTCTCAAACCTACACTATTGACATTAAAAAATAAGTACAATTTCTGGGTCTTCTATCGAGGAATAAACGTAAATTTTCTTTTTAATTTTTTAAATAAAGGCTCTACAGTAATATTTTTTTATTTATTTTCATCAGCGCTAATTATAGCATTAAATTTTCCATTTATTTGTGTTATAATTTCTTGCCTTTTAGATCTTATTTCATTAATCCGGATTATCTTTCAGTTCGGATTACCCTCCCAAATCAGTACGGATTAGAGACGGTTTGCTCTACACTGATCCTCTGAAAGGAGCTGAATGTACAAGTTCCTGTAAAGAGACATGGATGAAACTGAGATGCTCTGATGGGAGCATTTGTCACGTCAGTGACCATTTTGGACACTATAAAATCTCGATGTTGAGAAAGTCGTTAAATGACAAAGCAAAGAAGGATATCAGTGGCCATGTTGGCCGTCACAGCTGCCAAATCTGAGGGGCAGAACAGTCACAAGAAATTTCGGGGTACGTGACACACTGATATTTAACCGCGTGGCGTGACATCCTTTTCTTTGAAGAACAAACGCCTGAACGAAATGTTTATCTCCACATGTTAGAACCGGGCCCACAAATTGAAGACACTGAAAGCGAATACGCTACCGCGATTTTTCGTCGCATTTTGCTCTGAGTTTTCAACTGCTTGACTAGAAACCAGGGACCCATAATCTGGCTTTAAGAAGTCAAGATCATATGTCAGTAGATTCTATCATATGGGGGTATATGAAAACATTACATACAGGTACGGAGCTACAAAATCCATGATTTACGCCACCCGCGAAAAAAATTTACGTTTCTTGTCACTGGATGAAGATGAGTGGTGAGCTTTTTCGTGGGCCAGCCGGAGGAGAGAGCCGTTCCTTGTCACTGAATGAAGATGAGTGGTGAGCTTTTTCGTTGGCCAGCCGGAGGAGAGAGCCGTTCCTTGTCACTGGATGAAGATGAGTGGTGAGCTTTTTCGTTGGCCAGCCGGAGGAGAGAGCCGTTCCTTGTCACTGGATGAAGATGAGTGGTGAGCTTTTTCGTTGGCCAGCCGGAGGAGAGAGCCGTTCCTTGTCACTGGATGAAGATGAGTGGTGAGCTTTTTCGTTGGCCAGCCGGAGGAGAGAGCCGTTCCTTGTCACTGGATGAAGATGAGTGGTGAGCTTTTTCGTTGGCCAGCCGGAGGAGAGAGCCGTTCCTTGTCACTGGATGAAGATGAGTGGTGAGCTTTTTCGTTGGCCAGCCGGAGGAGAGAGCCGTTCCTTGTCACTGGATGAAGATGAGTGGTGAGCTTTTTCGTTGGCCAGCCGGAGGAGAGAGCCGTTCCTTGTCACTGGATGAAGATGAGTGGTGAGCTTTTTCGTTGGCCAGCCGGAGGAGAGAGCCGTTCCTTGTCACTGGATGAAGATGAGTGGTGAGCTTTTTCGTTGGCCAGCCGGAGGAGAGAGCCGTTCCTTGTCACTGGATGAAGATGAGTGGTGAGCTTTTTCGTTGGCCAGCCGGAGGAGAGAGCCGTTCCTTGTCACTGGATGAAGATGAGTGGTGAGCTTTTTCGTTGGCCAGCCGGAGGAGAGAGCCGTTCCTTGTCACTGGATGAAGATGAGTGGTGAGCTTTTTCGTTGGCCAGCCGGAGGAGAGAGCCGTTCCTTGTCACTGGATGAAGATGAGTGGTGAGCTTTTTCGTTGGCCAGCCGGAGGAGAGAGCCGTTCCTTGTCACTGGATGAAGATGAGTGGTGAGCTTTTTCGTTGGCCAGCCGGAGGAGAGAGCCGTTCCTTGTCACTGGATGAAGATGAGTGGTGAGCTTTTTCGTTGGCCAGCCGGAGGAGAGAGCCGTTCCTTGTCACTGGATGAAGATGAGTGGTGAGCTTCGTGGGCCAGCCGGAGGAAAGAGCCTTCCGTGCCCGTTGGGTAGGATGTTAATTCGTCCCAGAGCTGGTCTGGACACAGTGGGAGAAGTAAGGGCCTCTTGCTCCTGTCTGGATTCTTCTGTTGTCTAGCCCGTAGCCTTGTCACTATGTCAACTGAGCTTATGCACAATAAAACTTATGTTTGCACTATATTTGTGTTATGTATTTTGACTTATACGCCATTTTATGTGTGAAATGATTGTTCATATGTATAGCAGATGTCAGTTAACACACTGAAACACATTCCCATATTAGTATATCCTTATAACTAAAATAAAAATTGAAAGACATCTAGTTTCCATAAAGACTGGATACAAAATTTGCTTGCGCTTAGACATAAGCTGTGTTGAATTATTACAGTTATATTCAGCATAGAATAGTGAAGTTTTACCTGAACTTTTCTTTTGCATGCTAATGGCATAGGGGAAAACACGCATAACTTTCTTATTTCATTCATTCATTTCATTAATACGGACATAAGCAATCGAAATTATTGAGAATGTCCGCATGTTTTAGTGTGAAATGGATGTACATGGGGCATGAAGTAAAATGAAGGGCTTGGTTGAGCAAGACCCCGAAATTCAGTAGACAATTTCATTCCATTAGGCGCACCGCTGGCATTGACTGATTCCCGTCCCTTCAGCCCTCGGCTCCTCTCTCTTGACTTGGGCTTTCTTGGTCGTCCTTAGAGACTGAAGCAATTTGTTCTGAGTTGCGTTCCCAATTCACAAATAAGTTCAATTTTTGTGCTTAAACAACTTTCAAACACTTTCAATTATACAGAGTTTTGTCTTCTTTCTTCATGCCCTTCCTTCCATACCCTTTCTGTCTTTGTTTCCTTTCATATTTAATTAATTTTATTTTTATTCTTCTTCATTTACTTCCTTGCTTCCTTTTATTCCCATTTTCTTTTCTACATTCCTTCCATTCTTCCACCATTTCTTCCCCGCATTCATTATTTTTTGTATCTTTGTTTTTTCCCAGCCTCCCCATTTCTTTATTTCTGTTTATTTTTCTTTCTCTATTTTAATCTTCTATGATTCTGCGTTGCCTGTCCTTTATTTTTTATTTCTATTCTTGTATTTTTCTGTGTGTTTTTCATATTGCCTCTCTTTACAATCTTCTGAGATTTTTTTAGATTTTCCTCGGTGTCTCGCTGCTAGTATTTAAGGCAATTCTTGCACCGACCCTCACCTATCATCTAGGGCTGGTACAATAGGCCACAAGTGGCCGCAGTACAAGGTACTTAGTTCCACCCCACTAGAATTAAAAAAAAAAGCACTTATATAACCCACTGATTCTATAAAACGTCGTTTAATAAACAATATCCACAAATAGCTACGTGATTCTATCAGAAGTTGTATTGTCTTGGTTAACATTCCTGGTTTTCCTCTTACATTTTTTTGTAGTTTCACTCAGGTACTCCAAACAAGTGCCTGCCTAATACCACAGTGAACCGTGACTGATTCCATGTACAAGGGTTTGATAGAAAGTACTGGAAACACTGTTGTAACATGAAAGATGTGCGTCACATGGCATTAGCGCCGTCTGTAGCTGATAGCAGAAGTTCAGTTGAAGTAGTGCAGTGAGTGGCTATGGTTGTGTTTCATTGAGTTGCATTGTGAATCGTCTTGAAGTGCAGGAGCCCAGTTCAAGCACCCTAACAACATGGTTACGAAACAAGAACAACGCTCCTGGATAAAAATTGAAGTTGTACGAGGTCGTAGAGCACAAAACTATCAGGGAATGCGAGAAGCATATGATGCTGCTTTGCCATATCGCACATTGGCACGATGGGTGAAATTGTTCCGTGAAGGGAGGGATGCCATTCAGGACGACCCCAAGTTGACAACCACACAATTCAGCTTCTCGCTTCTTTGCTGGATGTCGATTTCGATGGGCTACGTGTGAGTTAGCTGCTGAGGTAGGCGTATGTCACAAAACCGTGCTCCAAATTCTGCAAGATATTCTTGGATATCGCAAAATTGCAGAGCGTTGGGTACCCCATACAATGTCCGAGGTGCAACAATGGCAACGTTATACAATTGCCAGGACTTGTTGGACCGGTACCAGAAGGAAGGTGACGACTTCCTTGGAAAGATCGTCACTCTGGACGAAACTTGGGCTCGCTTATACGAACCGCACTTGAAGCGACAATCAAACGAATGGAAGCATCCTGGCTCTCCTCGTCCAAAGAAAGTGCGCCCTATACAGAGTAATGTGAAGGCGATGTTCAGTGTGGCATATAACATTGATGGCGTGATACTGCACCACACTGTACCTCAACAACAGACGGTAAACGCTGCCTACTACTGCAGTTTCCTGCATAATCATCTTCATCCCGCACTCAGGAGAAAGCGATGACACTTGTTGGCAACGAACCCCATCGACCTTCATGACAATGAAAGGGCTCAGACTGCTGTCGCTGTCAAGGATCTCCTTCGCCGCTGGCGATGGGAGACACTGCAACATCTGCCATACTCACCCGATATGAGTCCGTGCGATTATGATCTCTTTTGCCAGAATGAAAGAACCACTGCGAGGGACACGTTACAACACAAGAGAGGAGATTATTCGTGCTGTAGGGCGGTCACTGCTGGACATCAAGGAATGTGCGTTTACCTCAGGTAATAGAGTCATTTCAGAACTATAGAGGCGTTGTCACTACTTTTTATCCGACTTATGTATTTTCCTAATTAGTTAAACAGAGCAGCGAGCACACAAGCAACTCGAATGCAATGTAAATAACGTTGTCATTCCCGCGGCCCACTACTTGAATAACTAACTATTCCAATGCGTCACACATTGTGAAGTGTTGTTGCTGCGTTGCACATTTACGCCATCTGTCATGTAAGCTTAGAATGTAGAGTGAGTTATCTTTGCTTCGCTACTCTTTGTTTCTCTTATCTCGTTGTAAGAAGCCATGCTGGGTAAAACGGTGTCGAGTTCCGGTGCTAGTGCTTTGGCGGGAGCTAGTCGGTGCAATCGGGAGTTCGCATCCTGTTTCTTTTGATGACAATTCTGTTTGGTTTCATGAAAGCGACAGTGCTTGTTTAACCAGTGTAACTATTATTCAGTGGTCTTGGTTGTAATAGTGATGTACGATATTTGTTCTACGTGGTCTTGGAACAGTGATCGACAACTGAGACAGGAACATGGCTTCTCTTGTGTGTTACAGCTACGTACAAGTAAGTACACAGGAGAGTTTGAAAATCTGTTTGTAAAAGCTCTCATCTGACAGTAGTAAATGCATGCAGTGGCTGAAAAATGTGAACTATTTCCCTCCCTCCATCCCTCCTTCCCCTCTCTGTACCTATCCTTGATGCAATTCTTTTTCTTCATTGTGTTTTACATTTCCTGTTCATTCATTCATGCATTTATTTTGTAGCCTTGCATTCATTTAACTATGTATACGCTTTGCAAATTCGATGTTGAAGAAATCGTTTGCTTTCAATGAGTGATCTGTTTCCATATAGGCAGGCAGTGTATTTGATTTCTTTCATTCTGGTCCGTCACACTAACAATTACAAAGACAAAAACAACACCGTCCAGTGTGACTATTTAAGTTTTATCACTTGAAAGCTCATCACCCTTACATGTTTCGATCCCTACGGATCATCCTCAGAGGGCATCAATACTTTTTCCGGAAACTGCTATTACAATATGTTACAGTGAGTTTTCAAGTGATAGAACTTAAATAGTCACACTGGACGGTGTTATTTTTGTCTTTGTAGGCAGTGTATATATGAAATTGTAATTATGAAATTAATTAATGTTATTATTTGATGACGCTGTTTAACTGCAGAGGTCTGTGCTCGTATACAGAATATACCCGAGAATGACTGCTCTGACGAGGGCCATCAGCAATTGTAAACGACTGACGCGCCCTCTCGTCAGAGAGAGCGTTCCACGCGAACAAACCAGCAACTATCTCATAGAAATAAATATAATCTGGTCGTAAGCCCCAGATGTCTGGTTTATTCTAAGACAGACTGGCCGACTGACCATCGGTCGTAACATAAGACACAGACTCAGACTCAGCTGATAGGAGTTTTAGTTAAGAGTTCCGATATTCCAAGGTGACTGAAGAAGAAATGGCAAGGAGACTTCGTAGTGATTTGAATTGGTAGTTTCTGTGTTAAGATTCGTTGCCAGGAGACGGCTAGAGAAGGCGGAGAATCCTAGTGCGTGTGCAACGGTGAACGGAATGTGTGTAGGATAGCGATAGCGTTATAATTGAGTGTGATTAATATAGACTGTAACCGAAGTGCCAGTAAATCCAATCATCCGACCTAAAACCGTAATTTTCGTCACACGTACCGCGCTACACGTGGCAATATGTTGGGAAATTTTGAGTAGCTGAGCAACTGGTGGTTTTTCAAGGAGTCGGCTCCATGGAGGCCCTGATATCTGGGCACTCGGCTGGAGGGACTGAGCAAAACAACGAACATCTTCAGGATACCAGTAAGAATATTGGGATTTGATTAATTTGTCATAGGTTTCATGATTTTTCGGGTGTAGAGTGAAATGCCGACTATGATTGTAAGGCTGTTATGGGCAATGAATACACAAGGCACTGGAATCATCACCTGGAGAAACAGGAAAAAAAAAACACAGAAAACATTACTTACTGTAGCTTAAGCGGTTAGTCGCTGGCTTCTCATCGCGGCGGCCCGGGTTCGAACCCTGGTCTGGTCAAGTGGGATTTCTTGGTCGACAGAGTGGCGCTGGGGCCGGTCACGGTAGCCGAGCGGTCTAAGGCATGCACTGTCTTCGCTTCTCAGAAGCCTGGATCGTAGGTTCGAATCCCACTCAGGGCATGGATGTTTGTGTACAGGTAGAGGCCTTGCGACGAGCTGATCACCCGCCCAAGGAGTCGTACCGAATGTCTAAGATCTAGAAAAACCTAACCGAACGGAGAAGTTCATGGAGGTAGGCCTAGGCCCACTGGGGCTGTAGTGCCAAGGGGGAAAAAAAGTGGCGCTGGGGCAGGTTTTCTCGGAGTACTTCGTTTTCCCCTGCCAATCTTCATTCCACCAGTTGCTCCCCAGTCAACCTCACCTATCATCTGGAGCTGGTACAATAGGCCAGAAGTGGCCACAGTACAAGGGACTTAGTCCCACCCCACTAGCAATAAAAAAAAATAATGTGGCATGTAATCTTCCTTGTTTGGCTGAGAGAAAAGCACGTAGAGCGTGAAGCTGTCAACTTACCTCGCATAGAATCGTAACTTTACCTCTACCTGCGTGCCACCTTATTTCTTTCTGGTATTTTGCTCGGCTCATTCGACCTTGAAGATGGGGTCCTTTATGTTCCTCCGAAACGTCAGTTGACCTTCAGCGGACTAGTGTTATATTCCAGGAGAAAGTACTCGGCATAAACACCGATAAGAGAACCTCAAATCCTGCAATTACATGTAGCTGTTCAAAAGATATCTTATTACATAGTCAGTTTATGACGTAAGCACTTAGCGTGGGAACCACCGGACAGATTCTACGTTAGCATCTGGAATGCCCCACGCCTGTAGGAAAATCGACGTGTCACCTAATGTAGTTAGGACAGTTTTCGCATAAATCATGACTACGTGTTTATGCATATCTTGTGATTTCAGTACATTCACTCACGTGACATGGGCACTCCGACATATGTCCAGGAAGATGCATCTCAGATCGGAACTCAACTTACCTATGAGATTTGAGATTTCCGTACCAGTGATTATGAAAAGTACTCCTCCTGGAATGTGATGCCATGAAGTTCCATAGAAATTCACCGACGTTTCGGAGGAACGTATTTCATTCATCTCTATGGTCGAAGTCGAGCAAGATACCGGCATGGTGCATGCAGCAAGCATTGTGAGATTTACTCTTCGACCGTCACGATGGAGACAGTACGTTCCTCCGAAACGTCGCTGAACTTCTGTCATTTGAGTGTTATCTGTGAAGATATCGCTCTTAATGATTTATGCATTTCATTGAGTATTTTTAGTTATTTAAGTAATGAAGACTGGGATGGGTTGGTCATGCAGCACGCGGGAAATTATTAGAAATCGACACACAAGTATGGTCGGTTATTCTGAGTGGGTGAAGCCAGACATACTCATAGGTAGGAGGATGGTGCCGTACTATTACAAGACTGAGTTTGAAAGTCAAAGTTACTTTACGACTGGCGGTTTACTGCCAATCGGGTCGTCCTGGCGACAAGCCCCTTGAGATTCGCGACCAGAGAATTATTATTCAAATGAACCCTTGTGGTCATAGTCCTTATGTAACATCGTTTGACTGTTAAGAATATGCTTGGCCTTTCATCAGTTTTGAAGATATTTACGCTGGGTCCATGTAGCTCAAGATCAAGATCAGATTTTCAAAAACTTTGCGACATTAAATTCTTTCGTTAGTTTAATTGAATTTGTATGAATATAGAAGAGGAACTTGAAAATAGAATTCTGAACTGTATCTTCAGTGATGAAGCCTAAATAAAGCAAGAAAGCAGATCTGCTTGCTGCAAAATTCATTGTGGTTTTCTGCTGGCTTACGCTTCAACCCTGAAGACGAGTGCGACATATTCTTCCGAAACGTCCGTTAACTTTCAGGAACCTTCATGGTATTATACCCCAGAAGACATTTTTCTATATCTTAATAAATTTAGTTTTAATTTGTTTTGCCCAGTACGCGTTGTCAGATATGAAACGCCCCACGTCTGAAATTATGCCATTTGGGTTGAAACGCTCTCCCAGTTCTGGAAGGCGTGGATAAGGTTTGGCGTAAAGAAATTGAACCCCTATGCTACGGGATTACAATCCATAGCGTATAATTGCAGGGAGTTCGTTACTGAACGCAGTGGTTAGGTTGGTTGAGCCTGTTGGCTTGGCGACAGTTGTTGCGCACAATATTAGAACAGTATGAGAACCTGATAGCGGGAACCAGCCGGACTGCATTGAAATCGGCCTGAAATGGAACGCAAGATATTGGAATATTCCTTGATATTAGAACCGAAATTCTAATGGACAATTTTAGGAAGCTGGCGTATGATAGGTGCAAAATATGAATTTAACTAATCGGTTGAAGTTGTTTTACAAATGAAGTTGATCCGAAGCAAACTACGTGGTTCAGGAGCGAGCAGGTTGATCTGAAAGTAACGCTTTAGACTTGTACACGTGAAATGCTCAGTTCGAGTCCCGACTAGGGACATCGGTTAACTTGACTGTGGTTTATTTGGATTTACTCAGTACCTCAAAGCAAATTCCGGGATAGTGCTTCGATTAGGATATGACTACGTCCTTCCTTATCCTTTAAAATTCATCAATAATGCTACCACTAAAGATATATAGCCTCGATGTTGAAGCCGTCTTTATATAAGCTACAAAAAACTCATGATGCTGGGAATTTTAAAACCTCTTTAACTGGTAAAGAATGTCTCTGCCATATAAGTAGGTCAGTAGAAAAAGCGACGGGCTACAAGGTGGACGGTCGGGGATCGATTTCGGACAAGGGAAAGATTTATCTCTTCTCTACAGCGTCCAGACCGTTTCTGAGGCTCACCCAGTCTCCTATCCAATGGGTAGGGGGAGCTCTTTCCTCAGGGGTGAAGTGGCCAGAGCGTGACACTGACCAACCACTTCCACTTAGTGTTGAGGTCAATAATGGTGGAGCTATAGCTACGCTCCCCAATACGTCTTCATGTCGTGATGATTAATTAATTAAGCATGGTGACAACTTTACCTTTATCTTTTGTATGTAACTCAGAGATTCAGTAACTTGTTCTCTAAGTCCGGCGTGGAACCCTTTCCCTATATCAGTTAGATAAATAGTTAGATAAATAAATTCTGAAGGTTTATATGAAATATATAGAAACAGACACTAGATAAAATTTATGCAGGATAAACAAAAGATTTAGAAAATTTATCTCCATGAAAACACTGTGATCGTGTGTAATTTGTTCTCCTTATGTATGACTATTTGTAAATTTATCTTTAATTACTAATGACTAATTACATCCAATAGTATATCATTCTTATGCTAGACGTGAGCATATTTGGGAGGATAATATTGTGACATGGATTCCCGTTGCTAAGCAACGGGTCTGTAAACACCTTCCCCCTTTATTGCATGACAACAATAGGGAGTCCATTACTATAAAAATACACGTCGAAACTGGTTGTTAGGCAGTTGCGTATATGCATGTATCTACA